GTCATACGTTGGCTTCTGACATCACCGTGCGTGGAGTATCCGTTTATCCCTCGGCGTGGTTTGATTTTCTTTCCCACGCTCAGAGATGTCCAATGCCCGGATATAAACACCAACCACTGCCCATTAAAGGCCGTCAAGTATATCTTTGCCAATTAACCACGGATTCGACAGGTATCGATGAACCTTGCAACATTGCCTCGCGGTACACCCAAAGGTGTTACAGGCTTGCGTTATTACAATAAGACCATGAAGGGTATTACAACTTCAGGACCACCGGCAAACTTCCCTTCGTTTCCTATCGAGCTCTATCTTGCACTCTTCTCTCATTTTTTGCTTAAGGCTCTCTTCGCCTCAAGAGGCACCTGCCATGAATGGCGTAAACTTGTCATTAAAGCGGATATCCCATATCCCTCCTCCACGTCGTCTCCTGTTAGATCTCTATTTACATTGATAGAATGCGAGTACTTCCATCGTACTCGCCCCTGTATTCTCGATAATCTTAAAGATTTCGATCGTGAGGCGTATGTGGATGCTTTCGTTCAACAAGGCGCAAATTTTCCCGAGGACTTCAAGCTTTGGACTCTGGAATCGCCAGCAAAAGCCGCAATTGCTGACATCTGGCCTGGTTTACCCGATGATGCAGTAGAGGATTGCTTCAAAGGTAGATTGGTTGGAAGAAATGTTTTGGGAATCATTCCTTCTCAGCTTTCATCCATCCCGTTTATGCCACAGCAACGACGTATCCCTACTGTATGTCTATGGGTCGGATCTTCCCCAGATGCAATTTGGCTACCGCTCGATGAAGAATCTGGTGTTTATGGGAAAGTAATGATATGTGATATCCGGGAGCTCTACATAGAGTAAAGACTAGGGACTATGACATCGACGTAGATCTCCTGAATTTTATGGTGTGGTTAGAGTGCGTGTGGGGTGGGCTTTCCCAGCGTCTTAGGCAGATCGAAGAAGGTACTATGTCGCAAGGTGATCCATCGGGGAAGCCGTTTAGGAACAAGGCGCGTGATGTGTTCGGTGCTTTTGACATACCTGCTCCTCCATGACATTTGAAGGATATCCCGCTCTATGATACATTATTGCAAGAAGATCTGGTCATTATTTGATATAGCGAATTATGCCGATTTTCTTCCATAGCTTTAGATGATGATTTAGACGTAGATGGGTTCCAGTGGAATTGAAGTGAATATTGATATCTGATGATGCTTTATGTATGTCATGTTTCACCATTATTGCGGAACTTGCTGTCAAAAGCACATTCTATTGCAATAACTTCAGTCTTGCTATCTGGAACACCCAGCATAAATATGTCCTGAGCTTTGCCTGAACTTCGCAGCAATATGGCACATAATGGCAGTTATCTTATCCTAGTCCCATCCAAGAATTTGTTTCAATGAAGTTCAAAACTACTTTCTGCTTCAATGGTGTACAAGAACTGCTGAAGATCCTATTTCCTGTAATTCCCTTGTTATTCCTTTTTCCATGAATTTAACTGGGATTTTGCATGAAATCATGTGCGTCAAGTTCTGTCCCGTGTATCTTATCCGGAATGGTTAGTTGATTAAATTAAAAACATCAATGCTATATACCTGGTGTTGTGTCGCTGCTTGTGGCCCTGGAGCTTCCAAAATACCCTGACGCTGTTTCATACACTGGAATCCATGAAATTTTTGGAATATCCACTGTTATGTATATATCTTCTCGGATCTTTTAGAGAGCCCAAACTTTGACGTAAATTTCCGATATTCGCCTCGAAGTATCATCTACAAAGCATAATTTGATAGCCGCCAATCATATTCCATGTGGGCCAGCCTTCGACTAGTTCAGCGCCTGTATTAAAGCCCCACCTTTCTCCGAGTCCCATCGACATATATAAGGGATTCAAATGCCGCTTTCTACCCACTGACCCCAAGTATACTTATCGCTAACATGAGAACGTCTCGAGATCTTTCAGATATTTTACGTGCTCGTGCATCCCTCATCTATCCTGATTATGAGAGAATAGGGGCTACTCGGGCAGATTTTATGTATGAACTCGACGGTGATGGCTTAAAAGCGGTACCACAAAGCATCAGAGAGAGCGGGAAACTCCCTGAAGGCTACACTATAGGTTCATCATATTCTTTTTTATTGTCATTCTTCTCCTTCTCTTTAACATAAGTACATACCTTCTAGATTTAGTATTGGACCCAGCTACTGCTATAAAAGCGTTGGAAAATGTTCGGAAGGATGATGGGACCCTAGCGCTGTGAGCTTTACTCTCTGTATACCACATGTGGTGGAGTTAATGTAGTTAGTTTTACAGTGAGGACCAAGATCTGATGGAGGATGTGAGAGAAATACTCAATGCACCGAGTAACCTGTGTATCGTTCCGATATCAATATATGAAGAGGTAGGTTAAAATCTGAATTGGATTCGAATTTTATTCAATTGAGCATGAACAGAAATTACAACTCACACTTGCCAGCCTTTTTGGAGAAGACAATAACGAGGATGAGGATGAGGGTGAGGGTGAGGATGAGTGTGAAGGCGAAGGTGAAGGTGAGGATGAGGACAAAGACGAGGACAAAGATTTGAAGGCCTCAAATGTTCATCAGGAAACAGCACCCGGCGCTTGTAGTTTGACTGAATTTACGGAACCTACAGTAGCTTCCGTAGTGTTTGCGAGTTTACGTAGCAGATTGTAGCACCATGTAGTGAAATGGCTCCTACAAGCAGCGGGTAATTGAGAGAACGCCATGACACAATATAATATTCATAGTGCTTAGTCAAGTTGTACTTAGATCTCATTCTGAATAATTAAAGCATATTTCTCGCTGTTATAAGCGATTTCAGACTGTCTGGTTGTGGAAAATTATCCAAAGCACGGAATCCCAGTTCTTTACGTAGAATATAGCTCTAGCTAAGTATCTTATGTAGCGCTTCTCCATTTGCATGACATTACACTAAAAATTATATCAAATGTATTTTAATATAATATTTCTCCACAAGGTCTTGTTGATGAAGCGAGCTCACAGTCGACACGTCGAAATTTGCGAAGTTCGAAGCGCCGGACTGAAGATGGTCTCGGTCTCTTTCACTCGAACCACCATCTTCTCATATCTTCGTCCTGACCTGCCCTTTCTTTTGTTTGAGCTCCTCTTACTCATATCCAGTCTCTAACATGCTATATCTTAATATGGGTGTTACCTTTGCTCTACTGTCTCTGTGCTCGTCTCTATGGCTAATGGATGCTTCTGTCGTTATCATGCTCTCGTATCCGCCATCTGCTCTAGGCTTACTGTTCAGGCTTTCTGGTTCCCACTTTGTCATTGTCTAATATCTTTTTTCATCTATCTCAATTCTAATGTCTACAACGATAGGTATTACTAGGCCTTCTGTGCTCTCATATATTATGATGGTCATTGCAGATCCCGGGATTCTAGAGGAAGGTGGACCAGATAAATAGGTTATAAGTACTGTGAGTAGTGTATTGCACTTGTTTTATTTCCATGCAAACTATTGTACTCACTATAGGTTGTTTCAAGATTTCACTCAGTCTACTACCACCATCCATCTTTACTTAACTCATGGGTAGGGATTGAAAGGATGGGGCTGCAAGCCCTGAAGATTATCCTTGCATCATAAGGAGCATAATATTCAAAGTGCATACCTCAATGTATATATAATAAACCATCTAACAGAGATTCCATGCCTATATTATATTGCTCCTGAGTGATTTTAGATGACAAAGAGAATATCTGAACTGTGTATAGGCCAGACTGTAGGGATAGGGTACATTATGTACAACTACAGCATGCTACACGGCAGAGGCAAAACTACATAAATGGCCTAGGTCCTACAGCAATACAAGCGCTACGGAGACATGTTGCCTTTTTCCTGATGTTGCTCTAAGAAACTCGGAGAATGAGCGGACAAATAAATGATATAAGCAGAACGACCCTGACTCAAGGTGTGTCTTGATAATATTTGATTCACCCATGAATGTGTCTGTGACGAACAATACTTCTGCCATCCTAGAAATAATCCAATGTTTGGTGATTTATGAACACAATGCACCGGATGCCTATTGAGCCGTCGACTCGAGTGCAATATTAATGTATGTACTCAGATATCTAGAGACAATACGAGGATCTAGGCTACTAGTCATCAATTATAATGGTGCAAAAATGGAGTAACTCGCTGTAAGGCATCATAACCTGAACTCCTCTGCGTAAATTATGATCTGAAAGACGCAGCGGCATAGCCCGGTCTCATACATCATGATTTCTAGGTCTTTCTGTCCCGCATATCTATGGTATCGTCCTCATCTAGTCTGATCCGGGCTATTTCATTGATTAACGTCTAGGCTTGCAATACCCACACGGCGTGGCGGTACGTACCTGGTAGCTTTACTTTATTGAGGGCGGTGAGGCTCCCAAGACACCTTGGCGCTATTGATCTTTCACAGCCTCTTTATCCCTGAAATCGCATATATAATTCGGAATATCTATGGATGTGAGTATGTCTGCTACCTGTACAAATATGCAGTGAAATTATTATTATTTTAGCTAGAACGAAAATAGATGGCAATGAAAGAGATTATTGAAGAAATACGTTTTTCACCAGATAACATCGGATGCGTCATTTCAATATCGTTATATACCAAAAAGAATAAGCCGAGAAGGATGAAGAAAGGCAATATGCACTTCAAGGTATATCTTGATAATATATGAATGCATCCGCCAGGACTGTACAACCTTCGCCTTATTCAGCAGCGTCTTTGAGCTGAGATGCGAATGGGTGATAACCAATTAAAGGAGTATTAATGCAGTACGGACTCAGATCTCTAGGGACAATATGAGGACCAAGTTAATCTATCAAATTGGCAGTAAAAAGCTGTGACGATTTCTAAGTCCTTGGGCTCCCTGTAGTGTCAACGAAGCAAGATTGGTAAAGTATTACATCATGACAATCATTGACACAGTATCTTTTGTCAAAAAGATCTAGCCCCACGCGGGGGTCGAACCCGCAACCTTGAGATCAAGGATTTTACAAATCAGCCTGCGGTTGATGTCTGTAAAAGTCTCACGCTCTACCGATTGAGCTAGCAGGGCTGCACAAGAGTCAACGAGTGGTGCAATAGGCAAGGCCGATAAGGAAAGATTTATTTGTTTGCTCACGAGCGTAAGAATGTTTTAACGATTTACCCCACTCGAGAATCTTTCTACATGTTTTTATTTAGATCCCCATCCTGTTTCCTTGACTCCGGGCGCTTCTTGCTTCCCAACTTCTCGCTATCAGCGCTCAGAGGATTCTCTATCGAAGAATCTTCCCTGCAAGAGTGGGGATCTACCAATCGGAACTCATAGGTTTCGGCTGCAAGCCAGAATCAAATCCATACATAGGATGCACGCCAGATTGATGTCGCTTTAGTTTGCTAGGTGCCGTGGGGTACATGCGGTAGGGAGGAGTTGGAGTGCATGAGAGTGCATGGTGTCAAGTAACGGTCGTGAGGTAAGTAACGAGGTGTGGGTGAGGGCTTGGAGATGCCTGCCGGTGTCCTTAAGGCGATTATCGGGGTGCCGTTGGACGCATGGGCATATTCTGGCTGATCACGAATTAAAAACTTGAACATGCAGGGATACCAACAGCGGCGAATGACGTCTATTTCAGTTACAAACATAAGGATACATAGAAAGCGGTGTACAATATGGTCGATTCTGACAGATGGAAGGTTGTCGAGTGGAGACGAATTAAGCCTTGCGCTGTTCTCGGTGTTGGTTCGTTACACTCTGGGCCGACTTTTCAGCTTGGGCTGCGGCCTGTAAGTACGATATATGCCGTTAATTCGATATATGGTGAGTTAAATAGTGAATATAGACTCACTGAGGCAATATCGTCGCCTGCAGAGGCGGGATTAGGTCCTGTGGACTCTCCTTGACCGAAATACTCTGGAAGAAATGCGTGTTAGCGAGGCGGTGCAAGAAATTCAATGATGATGCCTTCATACCTCCGCGCTGATCGACATCCTTCATTGGCTTTGGAGCAGCGTGTGCGTCAGATACGCCTGAGATACCCATAGGGATGTGCTCTGCAACGAAGCATTAGCATCAGAAGAAATATTAGGAAATATTAGTACAAACCATTAGTAGCTTCGAGCGGGGGAGATTGTGTTCCTTTCTGAGACATTGTGAGTGAATTGATTGTGAGTGAGGCACCTGAGATGGAGAGGATTAGTAACTATTTAAGAGGATACACGGAAGGTGGATGCGCCGCTCCAGAAATGCGACTCACTTATGATGACGTCAGTGGTGTCACGCAGAATGAAATGCCATAGATAGCGAATTTATGCTCATTTGTCAAAGAACTTCTGGAACTACTCTGGGGGTGGAGAGGAGAAATGCGGAGCTAAGCAGAATGCGAAGGCAGTGCGCTGTTCTTAGACGACTCCCCTGCAATGTGGGGATGATCTTTATGATGTGGTGGGCCACTGAAAGGAATTCTTTGAGAAATAAATACACATTTTCGCAAAGGTTCTCTAAACCCCTTTAATACATCTGAAGACGATCTAAACAATAAAAAATATGAAACAAAAACCAAGCACAAGCAGAGACGAATATTCGGCTCCCCGTATACTCTCTACTCTAAGCGCCATCTCCCGCTTAGTCAGCCGAACTCCACACAGCCTTCGATATTGCCTCGGAAGATGTGCAACCTATTCCTTCCTCCTTATACCCATCCCTTTAGTTAGGTAGAGAACTTTCCGGCCCCACAATGCTCCACTGGGCTGCTCTCCTAACGCTCCCAACGCTCGCCTTATCATATTCCTTCGAGCTCACCTCCGCGCCGACACAATGCGGCCAGGTTAATTTGAAAATCACAAACGGACAAGGAAGTCCCCCATATACAGCTCTAGTGGTGCCATTTGGTGCGAATCCGACACCAGACGGCGAGATCAGACGTATTTTCCAGCATGTCTTTAGTGAGCAGACGACGAACTTTACGATGCCCTATCCTGCCAACGGAGGATTCGTTATCGCGGTAAGCATTACACTTGCGCATTAGGGTGAAGAGGGCGTTGTACTGACAGATTTTCTTCTATTTTCCTTTAATTTTTGCTGCTGCGTATTGGAACGCTCATTTCACGTCGACCCGCTCTTACCACGTTACTTCAACTCTTCAAAATTGCGCACATGACCAAACATTGAACGCCCTTCACAATTGTCAATATAACATAATTACGCCTCCATGTGTTCTCCCGCAATCTCGCAAATAAATGCCAACGTTACGATCACCCCTAATCGCCAACCCGTCAACAGCTATCCGACCAAAATGGTATTGGCACAGGCGGCACGTCCGTCCCTCAATCCGTCGCTGCATCGAAAACCGACGACTCCTCTTGCCTTATCAAACCATCCGACGGCATAGCGACGTTCTCTTTCCAGCTCATTCCCAACAATGCTATCAATCAATGTGATCCCCGTGTCCTAGCATGGAATAATAATACATCGTGCGTATTTATCTATCTACATTTGTATAATATCCCTCTTTTTTTTTTAACCAACCATGCATTTGCAGAGGCGACGTCCACCTATACCTAATCATCCCAGGTGGTGAATCCCGGAACATCCCCACCACAAACCCAACCCCTCAAATAGGAGGTACTCATGGCGTCGAATGGACACCCAACATCAGTACCGGCACAAACATCATCCTCATCGCAGGAGATTCTAACGGCCCCGGCAGCGGCGGCTCCTTCAACACCGCCGTAGGGAACAACGCCAACGGCACCGACAGCTGCCTTAACGCCAACTCCCCCAGCAGCACACCCGGTACGGCCGCCGGTGCAGTCGAAACAGGCGCCAGCGGACAGGATAATAGTAATACTTCCACCACTTCCAACATTGCTGCCATCGCAGGCGGCATCGTCGCCACTCTCGCAGCTATCATCTTCATCGGCCTCATCTTCTGGTTCATGATGCGCAGACGCCGCAGACGACGCCTCTCACATCTTGGGGTGGACCTCCTACCTGAAGAAGGCGGCCCTGACCACGAATTTTACCGAACGGAACCATTCGTCATTCCTTCCTCCGCGCGATCCTATGCAGATGACGATATGAGCCGTGCGTCCATGGGTGATTTCGGGCGGCGCTATACCGCGCTTTCTACTACAGAAGATTTGTCCGAGTCGAATTATACGGGTGGGACAACGGCTTCTCCCTTTGGAGCGGGGTCTTCAGGATCAGGCTCTGGGGCTAGGTCGAATGTTAGTAGGAAGAACCCGGGTGGACCGATGCCTATGAGGTCGATAAATGTGGTGCAGCATGAGGATGCGGGAGAGTTGCCGGGGCTGGATGGACCTGGGGAGACGATTGAGTTACCGCCGGCGTATACGTCGGTTGGGAAGAGTAGACAGGAGACTTTTGCCGAGTCGTCGTCGTCTGTTGGGAAGAGGCAAGGGGAAATTGAGGAGTCGTCGTTGTCTGGAAGCTCGAGTGCGGCGGTTGGGAGTGGAAGTGGGCGTGTATGAGTTGCGGCGACGAACATTGTGTTAATGCATTGAATGGTGTGCATTGGTTTTCCTTTGCGGGTTTTCGATATTTATGATTGATCTTTGGATGGGACTTTTAGCATTTGCATCTGAGGTTTTTCTGTTTCTGTTTACTTTATGTTGCTTTCACTCTTCATTCTCTTGTTGGTCGGTTCCTCTTCCTTCCCTTCCCTCGTTGTCAACGTTAACGGACGTGCTCGAATCTGATTCTGGTTCTATTTCCACTCATTCACACCTATCTTATTCCATCCATCCATCCTTTTGCATCCCATCCACCCTCTTCCCATCCCTCTCTTCCCTCACCCATATCCCACTCTACCCTACCCACTAGCCCTCGAGAGCCCAAAAGGTTTTCTAGTTGCTTTTTCTTCCCGTTTTCTTTGTACGACGCATCACGTCCTCCTATACTATGATTCTGAACTTTATTCTCAGGTTTGCATCTCAACATCGACGGCATCGATGTCTTGTACTATATCCACCTACGTACCATACCCATACCATACGTATATTATTATATATCACACATTGTTTATGTTGTGATAACCTTCTCCTAATGTCATAAGAGTGCAATGCTTCTAAGGCCAATAACCCTCAAATCTCAATAAATGGTTCGGTACACACAGATATCCAAAGCGAATGCATAACTTTTGACTTTATTCTCTATTCTCTACACTTATTCTAAAGTCCGTTGAGTGCCCAATGATGATGCCTAACTTCGAGATATCAAGCAGCAGTCAACCTCTCATGTCGGCGAAATCAAGATGTGCTACTATACCCTACTAGGACAAAAATCTGACTCCAAAGGGTCAAAGCCGCCACCAGGATATAAAGGACTACTGGCACCGACTCCACCGGGACGGCCAGCCTGAGGATTCGACCCGCCAAGCGCACCGGGCATACCAGCACCAAGAGGAGTACTAGGCAAAAGGCGTTGGTAAGGGAAGCCGCCTCTAACTATGCATCTCCTTAGATTAACGCATGCCTGCCGAGCTTGAAGAGTGCCGTCGTCGGACTCTCCGCAAGCTTTATCGCAAGTATTGCGGACTCGGAGGGATAGGACACAGGGTTGGTTGCGGTTGCGTAGACGATGGGTGAAGGGGGTATGAGGGCGCCGTCGTCGGCGACGATGATGATAAGGTCGTTGCTTACGTTGTCGGAGTCGCCGAACACTGCCGTGATCGTTTGATCGTTGTTAATATTATAGGGATAGCGGAAGGGAAGAAAGAGGAAAAGGGAAAGAGACGATTTGCCAATCATTCCTTATGGTGAGACTTTCGTCATCTGGGATTATGATTTCTTAGAAGCCTTCAGCAAGGACACGGGCTGTAGAATGCAGATGAAGAGGTGTGAGCAAGGAGTTGAAGGGACGGACCAAATGACGTGACGTAAACGTAGATGAACCTGTTCTAAAGTTCGATGACGGCGCCGTTGCTGATTTGGTCAGGAGCATCGGTTGTATTCCTGTTATCACCATATCCCCATTAGATGATATAATAATACACGGGAAGACGCGGTGCGCACCAAGTCACCTATCGTCATCAACACGCAACACGACCAGAACCA